TAAACCCAAAAGAAGAGCCAAGAACCAATAAAATGCTCCGCAGGGCGCAGCTTGATACGACCGCAGAGGTCGAACCCTGAACAGTTGGGGCAAGTATGGACACAACATTCAAGCTTGATACAGCTTTGCATTTGGATTGTGATTAAATATTTGACACAGCATAGGTTTCTGACACAGAATGAATGTGGTCTAAGAACTTAAAAATTTTAAATTGGACGTTCACCTATTATGGTCCAATATCCAAAATCTAAATACATGGTTAGATTCAGCATATCAAAGAACCCCAAGAATTCAATTTTTGATGAAATCAAACAAAGTTTAATTTTGGACCCTTTTGACCTCAATGTGGACAAAGTTGATAACGGGGCCCAAAAATCAAAAATCTAAATACATGGTAAGTTTCAGCATATCAAAGAACCCCATATATTCAATTTTTGTTGAAATCAAACAAAGTTTAATTTTGGACCCCGATTTGGACCAACTTGAAAACTGGGCCCATTATCAAAAATCTAAATACATGTTTAGATTCAGCATATCAAAGAACCCTAAGAATTCAATTTTTGTTAAAATCAAACTAAGTTTAATTTTGGACCCTTTGGACCTTAATGTAGACCAATTTGAAAACGGAACCAAAAATTAAGAATCTAAATACACTGTTAGATTCGGCATATCAAAGAACCCCAATAATTTAATTTTTGATGAAATCAAACAAAGTTTAATTTTGGACCCTTTGGACCTCAATGTGGACCAATTTAAAAACGGGGCCCAAAATCCAAAAACTAAATACACGGTTAGATTCAGCATATTAAAGAACCCCCAAGAATTCAAGAATAAAACCCCATTGAAATTGGTCAAGAAATAAGCAATTTATAGAAGTATCTTCTTTTGCACAATACTGTGCAATTAAATATTTCTTGCTATTGCGCAATACTGTACAATTGACAATTTCTTGCTATTGCGCAATATTGTGCTATTGGATATTTCTTGCTATTGCGCAATACTGTGCAATTGAAGATTTCTTGCTATTGCGCAATACTGTGCAATTGAAGATTTCTTGCTATTGTGCAATACTATGCAATTGAAAATTTCTTGCTATTGCACAATACTTATTATATAATAATTTACACATCTTGTTGGGTGTGTATCTCCTACCATATCATTATTATTTGCTTTTAAATATAAATCAGAAATAACCAACTTAAAATGGAAAATTTTAAAAGAAAAAAAAAAGGGAAAAAAAGAAAAAAAAGGAAACCCCCCCCCCCAAATTTTTTGAACCCCCTTATGATCCACCCCAAACTCAATCTCAGCCTTCCCTTTGTGGTATGGTACCTTGCAGTACAATTTCAGAGAGATCCATACACTTGAACACAAGTTATTGTCTGGAAACTAGAAAAATGTGTTTTTTGGCCCCTTTTTGGCCCCAAATTCCTTAACGTTTAGGGCAATTACCCCCAAACTCAAACCCAGCTTTCCCTTTGTGATATGCAACCTTGTAGTGCAATTTCAGAAAGATCCATACACTTACACACAAATTATTGTCCTGAAACTAGAAAAATGCTTGTTTTTTGCCCCTTTTTGGCCCCTAATTCCTAAAATATTGAGGCCATTACCCCCATCATCAATCCCAGCCTTCCCTTTGTGGTATGGTACCTTGCAGTACAATTTCAGAGAGATACATACACTTGAACACAAGTTATTGTCTGGAAACTAGAAAAATGCTTATTCTTGGCCCCTTTTTGGCCCCCAATTCCTAAACATTTCGGCAATTACCCCCAAACTCAATTCCAGCTTTCCCTTTGTGATATGGAACCTTGTAGTACAATTTCAGAAAGATCCATACACTTACACACAAGTTATTGTCATGAAACTAGAAAAATGCTTGTTTTTTGCCCCTTTTTTGCCCCAAATTCCTAAAATTTTGAGGCAATTACCCCCAAAATCAATCCCAGCATTCCTTTTGTGATATGGAACCTTGTGGTACAATGTCAGAGAGATCCATACACTAACACACAAGTTATGTCTGGAAGTTACAAAAATGCTTATTTTTGGCCCCTTTTTGGCCCCTAATTCCTTTACTGTTGGTACCATAACCCCCAAAATCAATCCCAACCTTCCTTTTGTGGTATTGAACCTTGTGGTAAAATTTCATAGAGATCCATTGACTTAAACTAAAGTTAGAGTGCGAAAACCAATGTGTCTTCGGACGACGCCAGACGACGACGATGCCAACGTCATACCAATATACGACCACAAAATTTTTTTTGCGGTCGTATAAAAATGAAAAGGAGATAACAATGTACCAAATATGTGAAAGGATGTTTTCAGCGGAGTTATTGTGTCATTATTGTGATATCATGATATCAATCCAATGCTTATAAATCATATAATAATCAAAAAATAATTTTAAGATTCATTCCCAAAATCAAAATATTATTCATTAAAGATAAACAAAAATTACAAAATTGATTGACAAGCCAATATAATCCATTGATAGGCCTAACCCCAATTAAGAGACAAAGAGTTGTATTTACTAGAGGTGTGAAAACTATCAGTGATAGGTAAACAGATGACACTAATGAGTTGGAGTTAGTTATTTTAATATATTGATTAGCTTCACTTAATTATTTTAATCCTTTAATCATCACAATATAATAAGAATTATGAAGTGTACATGCTCATTTGACACCGAGTTATGTATGCTGTGAAAAATATTTTCATCAAGTGTTGATTGACTTTAAATTTTTCAGGTTCATATTGGTTTATATTCGCTTTTCTCAAACAATAGGTTGTTAGTCATACCCTACAAAATCATTGATGCATTACGTAAACAACACACGGCTAATCAAACATTTGAACAGTGAACAAAACAAAAGAAATGAATACATCTTTATTATTAACAGCAATATAAATTATCATGATGAGCATCAAATAAATTCAAACCAAACAAACATTAATGAAGAAATGAATATTATTCCTGGATTTGCATTGGTTTTACCGGCGTTCAGTTAATGTCAGCTGAAAAAAAAAATGCCCAAATTTTGTCCGACTTATACGAGGGTCAAGACTAAATCCTTAGAATTTGGAGCTGAAAAGGGCACCCGACTTATAGTAGGATCGACTATTAGGCGAGTTTCTACGGTAAGAGAACAGAAACTAAAAATTTTGCAATTTTTCCATTTTTAAAGGGGCATAACTCTAGAATGGTTAAAGTGACGCCACCGAAATTCAAACTTGATCTGTGTTTTGTGGTAAAAAGCATTGTGAATAAGTTTCATAACATTTAATTGAGGCAAACTAAAGTTAGAGAAGGGAAACCAATTTTGGGACGTATGTACGTACGTACGACAAGGGTAAAACTTAATGCCCCCACGGCTTCGGCGGGGGCATAAAAAATCATTTGATTTTGGCAAGAAATATCTTCAGTAGAATTTTGTATTTCAACTGTTTATATAAGAAATAATAGGGGAATTTAAGAGTGTAAAAGTGAAACGCTTTACCTAAGACTGTAACTGCTATGTACAGAAAACAGAATATACAAATAAAAATTGTAAAGTACACTTCAGCACTCCTGTACTAATAACTGAATACATTCTGTAGTTATTCTATAAAACGCATGTATTACTTCGTGTCTGACTTTCTTATTCCTTATTGACAAGTAGTTACTTTATTATCTGTAAACATTTTTAAATCTCCCACAGATTTTAGTAATCCCCTGCACTTTTAGAACTCCCACAATGTTTTGATATACATGGTGTGATATTGGTTTATGCTTTACTGAAGCATAAAATCCCTTTTACTGAACACCTACGTTTGCACCTAGATAAATTCAAACTGATTTCACAGCTTAAATTCATTCATTTCATCTTTATTACTTCTGTCATTTTTTCTCCAATTATAAATGTATATCAATTTATATTACGATATATATATTCTTAAATTCTTCCATCCTGTGCCAGCTTTAATATCTACCTGTATAAGTCTATCTAAAATATTCCTTTTAATTATCAGCTTTTTTATTTTCAAACTAATAAAAGAATTTTTCTCCTGTTTCATTTTTATTTTAAATAAAACATTCCTTGGAAAAATAATTGAAAATGAATCCTTTAAATCAATTTATTTTAAGCATAATTAATTGAAAACTTTGAGGTTACATAATATATTATCAATGCATTCAATAACAATTATTCCCAGCACAGTAGAGTGATTTGAAAAATTATTGATAGAAACTAAGGGCACACGTGCTGTGGTCAATGAAATTAACAACGTCGTCATAGGTAAAATAGTGATAAACAGATTATCATTGGTTATCTCAACTCGATTGCTTTTCTCACTTTCGCCGTACCAACTCAAGCGAGAAAATCAATCTCGTTGAGTTGACCAGCGAAAGTGAGAAAAGCAATCGAGTTGAGATGACCAACGATAATCTATAATTATCACACAGATAAGAAAGAGACAATACTGTAAATTAAAAAAATGTTTTTATTATTGCAAAAATTGAGACACGATATGTTTCTCAAAAACAAAATCTTGCACTTTGAACTTTTAAAAGCATCTAAATTGTATGCAGCTTTTTATAAAATCTAATAAATCAATCTCACATTTTTGTCCACTGTTTAAAAATAGAAATAAACAAGAATGTGTCCATAGTACACAGATGCCCCACTCACACTTTCATTTTCTATGTTCAGTGGACCGTGAAATTAGGGTCAAAACTCTAATTTGGCAATAAAATTAGAAAGATCATATCATAGGGAACGTGTGTACTAAGTTTCAAGTTGATTGGAGTTCAACTTCATCAAAAACACTACCTTGACCAAAAGCTTTAACCTGAAGCGGGACAGACTGACGGACGGACGAACAGACGGACGGAGGAACAAACAGACACACAGACCAGAAAACATAATGCCCCTACTACTATCGTAGGTGGGGCATAAAAATGCATGCAAAATTTCAGAATTTACAGTATATAATATGGCCTACTCATCAGAAATACTAACCTTTTGGTAGATTTAATGTTATGATTTCATCTGTTTCTGGACCAAATGACTGAAAATAAAAATGAAATAAGTTATTAATCTCCTAATGCATTTAAACTATTAATAAAAATTATTATTTGAGTTTTTCTAAACATGTTTTGATTATTTTCTGAGACCTATATACATAGATTACTGTTATTAATATTACTCCATGGCTTTGTTCTTCAATTCACAGTTGTGGAGTGATAGTCAGTTTGCTAAGAATTCCACTCAAACTGGTGATAGGGGCAATCTTACACTTGCAGTGTTGTGAGAGTTTTTTTGCTCTGTCTTGAAGGCCTCATTGTAACTTCGAGACGAAGAACAGCAATAAAAACACTGCTCCTTTGCTTTTGGTGTTTTTTGCTGTGCACATACTGATTTTGTGTCATGGATGAATACACCATATCTCTTCTTTTCTATTACTGAATGTAATGATGTGTATTTATCTTTGGACCAGCATGTTAAATTCTTTTCACTTGTATCATTATTCTCATTATACATATGTCAATTAAAGATATATGCAGTTAATTAATTCTAACTTAACATGTAAAAGATTAACAATAATAAATAGTCATTTATAAAAAAAAAAATGTTTGGTTTTGTTGTGTGGTTAGTCTGCTGCCAAATTGATGTACTGTAAATTCAGAAAATATTGTGTGCATTTATCATTGACATTTTGAAGAATGGACAAAAATGTAAAATTAATTATTGCCATTTCTGAAAAAATATGGATACAGATATTTGTATCAGATATTAGAATGTGAGTTCTTATTATTGCGATACTCACTAAGTCACATTATTTGCAATAAAAAAAAACTCGCAATAATTTCTGAATTTCCAGTATACCCAAACATATCTTTTTATTAAATCTTTCCTCTTAAAGAATACAATTTTTATGGTTTCTCAACTAATTAAGATTCCCTCTTAATTATCTTAATTCTAATTAGGACTAGTCCATTCAAATGATAGTGGGAGGGTAAGACAGTTTTATTTAAGAACATGGGTAATTTCTGATTGCATATCCATTTGTTGAATGCAAAATTACCCAAAGTAAATTGGTTGATGGGGAATTTTGGAAGTCCCGTCCAACTTTCTCACATCTATTTAAATGAAATAGCCCCTGAAAAAAATTGACATTTTAAAGCAAGAATAAAACTACATACCAAATAGCCAGCTGATCCAAATGATATGTACAAAAATGTTACTATAAACATGGTAAATATAAAATACCTAAAAAAGAGAGAAAACAAGATTATTTCTCAATATATGTTAAGAACGGTTATTTGTAAAAGTACTGCAAACAATGTAATATTTGCAACAAAATTTATGAACTGCAATTTTTTTTTTTTTTACAAATCATTTACTGCTCTTACATTTGTGTTTGGATAATACATGTTAAGTAGTAATAAAGGATCCCATTAAAAAAAAATATTTTACAGTAAACTGTTTGATTATCCCCTAACTTTTTGTTTTTGAACCCAAGTACATACTGTGAAAGTACTTTTATTCGTATGGTACCAATTTTCGTGGTTTTCGTGGAAGGCTTTATCCACGAATTTAATTGTCCAACGAAATATAACAACTGTTGTCCAAATCAAAACATGCAAATATCTCCATGTAGGTTTGACTACATAGATACAGGCATATAATCAAGAGAATACATCGAATATCAGCAAACGCACTATGAACTATATCATGTATATATACAAATACATCTTCAGACAGATTTTACTAATTTAATCTGCAAAAAATATACAATGTACAACTTTTAACCTTTTATTTCTCATAAAATATTAGGAAAGTCAGACTTCCAGTGATGATGTGTAATGATAAAGTGTTCATTTTATCCCCTCTTAATTTTCGAACGAAAAATTACTTCTTTTTGGGCTTGCTTTTTATTTCACAAGAATTAATTTTACATTTCAAAGTACATTTGTAGCATTTTATATGTAACTGTTTTCTTTTAGTGACATGTTTATGGTCCAATTAACACCTTTGATGATCTTTAATCTGTTGATCATTCGATCTCGGATTAATTAGTGTCATCACTTCTGATTACATGTGTGCAACAATTCAAATGTTTACTTTGTAATTTCCTTCGAATCAATACATTTGTAAGCATAGATGAATCAGCTTATTTCCTAAAGCAATTATTTTATTAAAAAAATTGGTGAATGTTGTCAGTATTTGAAAGACTAACAAGTAAGTAAAAATGAACACCTTTTTTGGCAATCTCCTACAAATATTTATCAAACAACATATGATTTTTTTCAAAACACTTCGTTTGTGATGGCTTCAAATTCTTCCCTGGATTTTTTTTCTTAAGAAAACTAAAATCCATGAATTTAAGTAGCACGAACATGTAACTTTTACTCAAACCAAGAAAATTGATACCCACGAATAAAAGTACTTTCACAGTAGTTTTTTTTCCTTCTTATAGCTACTTTCATTTCTTTATAAAAAGAGAAATTTCTATTTTATTTATATTACTAAGAGTATTATGTTTAATTGGCAACCAAAATGCATTTTTTTGTATTTTACAATTTCTGCTCATCAATAGTATAAAGAGTGGTTTTGTCCATTAACCACAATTCATTTTTATATAACCTCATTTCAATAAAGAAGTTTATAATGTTTGTCAACCATAAAATCCTATAATTATATCTTCTTATAGGCCTAAAATGAAGAAACAAGCCTATGAAATAAAAATACTTTATGTTATCTGAACATAAACTAATAATATTAACTTACGTTTTAAATTGTTTCCTGACTTCCTTTGCTAAAGAAGATTCTAATGATAAAATCATGCCAGCACCCTAAAAATAAACAAAAGTGTAATGTACTTTAAAACAAAAGTTTCTAAAATCTGAATACTAAATAATGCTTTGCAAAAAATAAAATAGTGAGACATGAAAGAAGAAAAAAATAGTTAATATTTGAAAGCTCATGTGTAATAGAGAAAAGAAATTATATTTTTTGTAAAAAGTTATCTCATTAGATGCAACTATGCAAAATATCTGTTGAAAACTTTCATCTCTGATTGATAAAATTGTTTACAATATAACTAAGAGACACAAATTGTTGCCTGGTTTAATTTATTATGTGACACAAATAAATCTACTGGCTGCAACTGTTTTGTTCTTTTTTCTTTTGAGTTATTTCCCTTCAACTGAATTTGATCTTTTTTTAGTTCAAAATATCTTGAGCATAATGTGATTTGTATAAAACAAAATTAACGATAAACAGTAGTTAGTATATATGACTACATAAGAAGACATCCTACAACAAAAACTGATTATTTATGACAGTGTAAAATGGCAGCAAGACAGTAGGACAGAATAAAAATGCATTTGTTGTAGTTCTGAGCATACCCCACTATTAATTCAAAGTTTTGAAAACAGGAAGTAAGTGCCTAAAAATCTGAAAGCTCTCACATGTTACAACTCATCACTGCCAAGCTGCTAACTAAATATGAAGTCATATTGTTCAGTAATACCTGAGGAAAGTGTGAACAAAATATTTGTCGGAAGGACGAAGGGACAATGTGAATGAAATATAGATCACATTACTATAGAGTTTGGAACAATTATACTTTAAATGATCAACTTACTTCATAACAATAAATAGCAATACATATAAAAAATGGAAGACCAACTATAGACATCTTCTTTGGATGAATTCTGCAAAGAGAAATTATGGATCCACTGATAACAAAATCATTATGGAATAGTTATAACTATAGTTACCTCCCTTACATATAGATACAGGAAACAAAGATTACATGTTTCTTTTGAAACATGCATGCAAAAAAGAAATTTTTTTTCTTTCTATAATTTCCTTTCAGTGGCAATTAAAGGTAGCAACTGAAAAAATTTCTATGTTATTAAATGAAAAAAAGTAAAAGGTAAAGGAAAACTGATGAGCACCATTGATTAACATGTCGATTTAAATAAAATTATAACTTTTGAAACAATTTCTCTACAGCAGCCATGCTTTTTCTAACTATTTCTGAAAAAAAACCAACTTGTCACACCTAAATAATAATTGTGAATAAAAGTATAAAAGTAAAAGTGAAGATTATAAACTGAACTGTGCACTGAGAAGTATGTTGAAAAGAATTTGTAAAGAAACAAGAATGTGTCCATAGTACACTGATGCCCCACTCGCACTATCATTTTCTATGTTCAGTGGACCGTGAAATTGGGGTTAAAACTCTAATTTGGCATTAAAATTAGAAAGATCATATCATAGGGAACATGTGTACTAAGTTTCAAGTTGATTGGACTTCAACTTCATAAAAAAACTACCTTGACCAAAAACTTTAACCTGAAGCGGGACAGACGGACGAACGGATGCATAGACCGAAAAACATAATGCCCCTAGGTGGGGCATAAAAAAGTTTAGAGTAAAATATTGTTTCCTACCATAAATTGAGTTTAATTCTTTTTATTTTTGTCAGATCGAGTACAATTACTAGAAATTTGAAGTGTAAGTCTTACTAAGAGTAAAGTAGTGTTCAAACAAGATGAAATAATATAGTTTTTTTTCCTCTTTTTTGTGTTGTTAAGTTGCTATCTTATGAATGTGAATGTAACATTTCCTTTCATTAGTATTCATAGAATCAAATTTAGTACTCATAGTAGGTACTCACACATTTTTTTTTTTATTTCTTATTCTGGTAACCAGCGTTATAAATTATATAGAATGCACAATTATCTTTGATTTAAAGGGGTAATAACTCAGTAAACACTACGAAATTTACTAATACAGCAAAAATATCTACAATATTTAGGCCACAGAGATAAAAATAACTACTGTAGCTAAATCATGACAAGTATGAGACTAAATTAGCATGTTTAGGAAGATTTGATTTTTTCTGGTCCATACTTCATTTTCCTTCAAATTACTTACAACTTACAAAGATCAGCGATTAAACATTAATAATTACAAAACAGGATGGATGAACTGACAAACACTCAATACTTCTATGTCCCCTGCAATGTGTCGGCCGGGAGACAATTAAGACTGTAACATTGGACGGTTAGTAAGAAAATTTGGTTCAGATTGATTATTACATCATTACATCAAATAAATAAAATTGATGAATGTAATTAGTTATTAGATAGATAGTATTTGCATGCAGTGCTAAAAAAATAAAACATTTCTGTTTTGTTTTAATCACCCACAGATATTATCAATTAAGACTGTTTTGATATAACTGACTTTTGACTCCTGGTATATACTTTTTCAACGGGTTATCTTTTTTTGTGGTAGGACATTCTGGTACTCAGTCAAGTAAGAGCAACTAAAAGAAGTAAAATCAAACTTACAATTGGTGCAACTTTGGGAAAAAAATATTTGTTTTCCAACGATTTTGTTAATTTTTTTCCCAAATTGCACAGATTGTAAGATTGATTTTACTTCTTTAAGTTGCTTCTACTTGACTGAGTACCAGAATGTCTTACCACAGAGAAGGTAAACTGTCGAAAAAATTATATACTCCAGAGGCAAATGTCTATAATATGAAAATAGTCTATTATCAACCTGTAAATCTGAATGTTACTTTGCCACTTGATTAGATTTTTTTTAAAGTGTACCGGGAGAATTTAGTTGTATCTCCAACATATGTTTTATGATTTTTCTCCATTCAACGTACCAGTACTCAATCTGTAGTACTTATTAAAGTGTTAGTTTATACGGACTAAGTCCACTGAATTTTTGTGGTAAATTAATTTTAGAAGTATAGTGCAGATATTTGTGAAAAAAACTATTATCAAGTAATAACAGCTTTAGAGAATTGTTTATTATGTAATTTTTTTCTTGATATGAGGAGAGGTAAAGTAGATAACAATTTTCACAATATACCCTCACTTACTAGCACTAAATGAAGTTTTAGATGATTTATACATACCGAGTTGCCCTAAAACATGGTACAATATGTAAATAACAACAAAAACATTAGACAACATTAGTCAAGCTAAAGCTTTTCATGCAAGCTAACAGTTGTTAGTCATTCTAGAAGTTGTTAATGCATTCAGTAAATTTGGAATTTCTAGATTGAAAGGCCTGCACTCTTACATCAAAATATTTTGAATGTTTACCAAACAGGATAAATTTCAACAACCAGGAATTGGTTTTATTTTGTTCAACTTACTAGAGAATTATACTTTTACAATCCTTGTCATAAAATTGATGAGAGTCTATATAAAATATTCATAGATATAGGAAGATGTGGTATGAGTGCCAATGAGACAACTCTCCATCCAAGTTACAATTTATAAAAGTATACCATTATAGGTCAAGGTACGGCCTTCAACACGGAGCATTGGCTCACACCGAACAGCAAGCTATAAAGGGCCCCAAAAAATTACTTGTGTAAAACCATTCAAACGGAAAAACCAACGGTCTATGACTGGTCCCTTTATTTCTAAACACAATTTGGTAGGTGCTAATGGTTAAGATTAGTATGATATCAATTTTATCTCTGGATTTTACATTCAACCAATAACTATCTACCTAGATGTATTAGAATATACTAGTTACAAAAGCAACATCAAAATTTATTAGGCAAATCTCTGGGAAGCTAGATTATATAATACATGACAAATCAATCTGAAAATTAACTTAAAGGAGAAAGAATCCAAAATAAAATGTGTATCAAACTTTCCATTTCGATTATCAAGTTTCCATAACATTAAAGTGGATTAAGATTTTGTTATTTAAATCTGTGTAATACATTGATGACAGTCTAAATTTGGTAGACAAATGTTTATGTATGTTGCCAAATCATTTCTTGGTTGTCATCATTTATTGACAATTTCCACATTTGCAACATTCTTTGAAAGGAGTAAGGACTCCATTAGCTGACTGATATGATGACTTTGATACTTACTCAGCTACGGAATATTGGGACTTAATTTCCTCCGCCTAATATTTTGGTTTTAAGTAAGGAACTGAAACTACATTTGTTTGATTCCTCTCAATGAAAAATTGGCAAAGATATTTTTTGTTCCAATTGTTGAATATGTCAGAAGTGTTTAATCAGTAACTGATGCCTGACTTGCCATATTTCAGCAGCGAAATTTGTTTTCTCTGACATGGAAAGTGATTTTTCATTTCTTGCGACAAGGCTATATAAATTTGATTTTTACTCAACCTCCTATAGCATTTCTCGAAGAAAAAATTTTTCACAAACATTATATCGTTTTAGAAAAAAATCTAATTAAGGTTCTCAATTAATGTCTTTGTTTAATTACTAAGATGTACAAAGAAGTCAATTGCTAAACAGGTGATTGTTTTTTCACATCTTTTTTAAGTGTTCATTGTAACATGATTTCCTGCATATAACCAGTCACCTCTTCTGGGGATAAAATGTCATGGCAGGTCACATATACCAAATTAAAGGCCTTCTAACATTCTTTGTATGGGGAGATGGTTTATCACTAATTTAATAAGTAATCAATTTTTTTAATAATAACATAATAACTTTGTTTCCTTCTCCTTTAAAGTATAATTAATACAATAAACTAAATTCAACAAATGAACAAAACAAAACAGAACAAAAATAAAGATGCATCATTAATGCAAAGAATTAACAAAGCTTTATATCTTTTATTAGTGTATACTCACTCAACATGTTCAAAATGTTCAAAATCAAACCAAAATACAACAGCAAAGGCAAGAAGATTGGAACACTGGGCCATTAAACTGAAAAAAAAACAACATGCAAGATTCAGCTCTTCTTGTGATATATAGAGAATAACAGTTGTTCATGGTAAGGACTAATTCAGTGACGATTCTGTGATGTCACAATCCAGGAAAATAGGACTTATTATAATTAAGATTCACTAAAATTGGTAATAAATCATCATCTAAGAACAACTCCTATTATTAGTCTTTTATGTCTGTAACCTTGTGTAACCTTGAAATTTCATGGAATGAGTAGACAGTGTAATGGTCAATACAATTGAAAATTGGTATAAAAAACTAAGAGTATAATAAAATATATATAGAATGGTGGCATATGTATATTCTACTTCATTTATTTTTCTAAAATTTATTTCATATTTTTTCTACATTCATTTCATATTTTTTCTACATTCATTTTCAAGACTTTCGAAAATAGAAAAATAATTCATCACAAATATGTAAAACTAGGATATTATCTTATATAAATTCCAAAAAAATGAGATAATCTAGAAAATAAATTGCTGTGAAGTCATCTAGAATGAACTAAACACTTTTAAAAAATATCTTACAAAATAAGTTGGTTTACAGAATTTCCAATTATATGAAATGTTTGTCAGTTTTTTATTGTAATCTCATTCAGCCGATGTTCATTTATACAAGCTGACTTACCTTGTCATAGCAAGACTACCAAGATGTCTTAGTAAGGTCATAAAACATATTGGTGGCAATAATATAAGCAACCAGTGTATTCTGGAAAATAATAATAATAGTTATTGTCCATTACATATACTAAATACAGGCATTCAAAAAGTTAAAATGGCATTTATGACATATACATGATGAAACCAGATGCATTAGGTTTCATTTTCGGCTTAATTCTAGAAGTTGGCAGGTATGGAAAAGTTTTGCACTTCACTTACTTTAAGGTGTATTCTCTTAATGATTTGAAAACATTGGAAATATCTTTATCATAAGGAGAAAATAGGAACTAAAGTTGTCTTTTTAAGGTACAAGCACAGAATTTTTTACGAGAAAAAGATTATTTTTGATATGATTTTTTGGGGAATACATGAGCTTTAAACTTTATTAAAAGTGTATTAGAATATCAAGTTTTTCATAATATTTTAGCTGAATTGTATAAGTTAAATAAATGTTGTCAACATTAGGGACTTGGTACCTTCGGATAAGAAGAGAGTTTGTTTAATGTTAGGATTAGGGCTAATGTTGAGTTAGGTATGGGTTAAGGTTGCTTTAGTATAGAGCCCTACATAATGTAATGATGAGGTGGGTGCCTTGGGGTAATTGAAGACCAAAGAGAATATGACTACAAAACAACATTATACTTACAATTTCATAGATCTCATATAATCAGATAAATTCTCTGTGATAAATATTAAGTATGCACAACAGAATCCTAAAACATAAAAAAATATAAAAGTTTGAACAATTTAAACTTCTTGTAGTTTTTTCCAGAAATAAGATAAAATCAGTAAGTAAATTTTGAAGTGTCATCATGTTTGTCATTTAAGTCAAATTAATAGAACTGGAAGAGATATGTTGTATAAATTCAGGACACACCAACACTTGACACACCCCAGTAAAGAACTGAACTTTTAGTGCTTTTCTAGCACTGAGTCCTTCTTTGCACATATCAATTCATATTTCACATTTCAATATCAAGTTCATTTGTAATTGTAATCTAAACTTGTTGTTGTCTCATTGGCAATCATACCACATCTCCTTATTTTTATATTAATAACTGATTAGATGAATCTGCACCTTATTCAGTACATTGTATTGAATAATTTTAACTTTGTAAAGGATTTTCTTCATTAATGTACAGTCAAACCTGCATTGAACAGTGTATATAAAGGTCACATTCTGGACCTAAGAAAACTTCCCGTATAAGAGAGGTTACCATACGGCCTTCAACAATGAGCAAAGCCCATACCACATAGTCAGATATAAAAGGCACCGAAATGACAAATGTAAAACAATTCAAGCGAGAAAACAAATGGCCTTATTTATGTACAAAATAATGTACGAAAAACAAATATGTTACATAGCAACAAATGACAACCACTGAATTATAGGCTCCTGACTTTGGACAGGCACATACAGAATGTGGTGGGCTAAACTAGTTTGTTGGCAAGTTTACAATATCTAATTCTATTGATGGCAAGTAAATAGTAGAAGAAATTCATCCCTCTGTTCACCATGACTAAGTATCTTATAAGCATGCACTCCTACCTGTTTGTGAAATAACAATAGCTAAATCAACTAGTAATCGACCATGATATCCAATAGCATAATAACCTGTAAAACATAAAATATAAAATACTAAATGGTTCCAATGTTTTATGGATGACTTAGTGACAACATATAAAGATTAACATTATTATTATTATGTATAACATAAAATGGTCAATTTATTGTTGGTGTTAAACCCCTCTTTCACCACTATTGGCGCTATTGTAGAGGTAAGATTTCATTGGTGGAGGAAGTCAGAGTGCCTGGGCACCACTACCTTTGGCATGGGTGCTTCATGCAATACATGTATTGTCAATTGCTTTCATTTCATATAAATTATAAAACAAAACAGCATTCAATTCTATATTAAAAAAAAAGATAAGTTGCAAAAAAAATATTAAAACACTTATTTTAGATTGGAGTAATTTTCCTGTATTTCCTTTTTGAAAATTCTGCAGTTTCCTTTGTATTATGGTTTAAATTAAATCTGTCCTAATTATAAGCAGGTCTTACCTACATCTCCATATGACAAGTCATGTCCTGGATCTTCTTCCTGAAATTAAAAAGAAAAAGATATATTTAGAAAGAATCAGCCTGAAATGATACATTTTTTACCAATGTGAATGGCATGATGAAGTTTTATTCATCCAAAGAAAAATCTTATTTCCTTGAAAATATTTAGTTGATTACAACAAGCTCAAGTTATATATTTAAAACTCTTTTATCACAATTTGCTTGTCATGTATGCTGAAAATTTCATTTATCAAATATATTAGACTAGTATTCTCTAATCAGACTTTGTTTGGTATTGTCTATTAGTGTCAAATTTAATTGTAAAACTATGGCACACCTAAAAAGATTGTAAACTTTGTCATGCTAAGCATACCCCTACTTGTAGTTCAAAGTATAAGAAAACAGGAAGAAGGTGTCAGACAGATTTGAAATACCCTCACACATTAAAGCTCAGCATTGAACAGCTGTTGACTAAATATAAAGTTATGGAAATTTTTTAACTTTATTCAAAAATTGAAAAATTCAAAGTATTGGCAAACAGGAAGTTGGTATCTGACAAATATGAAATATTTCCATATTCTACAACTCGTCACTCTAAAGCAGCTGATTAAATATGAAGTCTTTTTGTCCAGTAGTAGCAGAGAAAAATGTGACTGCAATATTGTTTGAAGACTGGACTGACAAGGTGAATACAATATAGCCTCCACTCATACACAACAGTGTGCATATAATAAAACAAATCATATAAACTAACCACACCTATCACTTATACAAGTTGCAAAGAAAACATAAATTCTCACTACTGGGTGTCTAAGATTTCTTCAAAAGCACTGCCCAAGTTTTTAAATAATATAATGGTACATTCAATAGCTATGAATATTCAGATTTGTAACAAGATAATCGAATCTTTAACAGTGATGTGGAAATATCAGAATTCTTCACTTGTCCAAGGACAACTACCATACAAAAATATAACTGCAGAAACTACTTGTCCCAAACAAGTAGCTATAATATATAGTTGGAACATATTCACATGTCGGGGAGATTTTGGGACCAACTAGACAAGTAGGGAATGGTATTTCCACACCCCTTGGGACCCATGTAATTAAAACACTGTTGTAATACCTACCTTATTGACTTCCTCTTCTGTTATTAAGTTAACAAATTCTTGTTTGGCAATCTGTAATGACAACAATCCATCCTCTTTTGCATCTGTTTCCTGTACTTTCTTTGGACTAGTTTCTACTTTAGCTTTCTCATTTCTTGGCAGTCTGTATTCTGATATCAACTTATATTTACAATCAATTAACAGCAACATTGCTTTCACACTGAAAAACAGAAAGTACATATATCAGGGTACAAGATGCATCATAATATACTGTAAACCAACTAAGCTTTGCAGCAATTTATTTTCGCGACTTTCAATAGTAGAAAAATAACGCAAAAATAAATGGTAACAAATATGTAAAACTTAGATCTTTCCTTTTTTAACTACATCAAGTAATTTTGAAAATTACAAAATTAAAATTGTCGCAAAGTATGCCAGAAAGGACTGAACAGGAAATAATGTATCCGCAAAAATAAGTTTGTTTACAGTATATCAAATTGTGTTGATTAGAACAAAGTCCTATGGTTTTAATACAGTATGCGGTTTGTTTGATAGTACAGAACATCATCTGTGTCAGTCTTCTATTCACAGGTGAAGAATAATTAACATCTAGCCAAGAATTTCCCTTAAATTGGTGCTAGGGTCTGCCTTAAACAGTGAGGGATGTGGCTTTACTCTGTTTTTAAGGCCTCTATGTGACGTTGAGATGAAAAATAGCTCCTTTGCTTTGGATTATCTTAAGTTAAGGTAATTTGTGTCATCAATTAATACAGCCTTTTTTTCTATTATAGTAGAAGAATACTGATGTTTTTCCTGATAAATCATAAGGAGTACTAGTATATCTTCTTCCATTTCAGTAGATTGTTTCCATAAAAAAAGTTTAAAGCAGTACCTACATGTATCCATATCGTTTGGACCATAGTTGATAGTTGTCTCATTGGCAATTATACATCATCATCTAATTTTATGTATATTTGTATGCCATATATACATTACAATGCAACAATAAGAAATACAAAACCTTGCACAAGACAGAATAGATAAGTTCAGAGACCCTGACATATATGTAGGCTTTATACTGTAGAAACAACATTACTTTCTACTCACCTGATTATACCTATTGTAGCCATCACAAAGATACCCTCCAAAATTCCTGCCTGTATAAAAAAAAATTAATTATTCATTTCATACTTATAAAAACAAAAATGTAGTACTTCTAGTTAAATTCAATTACATTATTTTTTATGTGACTTATTTTGGTGATGTCTAATTTCATTAATTTTTTTAATATGTGAATTTAATTTTTTCATTCCATACACTATTAATTAAGCAATTACTATTGTGTTGTTAAAAAACAAGACAATGTACAGTAGCACTTTAATATATTCATGGTATGTACCAGCATAAAGGTATGGTAGAAATGCCTTTGCAAAAAAACTGGGAAGAGGATAATATTTAATATATTGTGTCCCAGCCCCTAAAGACAAACACGGGGAAATTTAGAGTTTCCTTTAAAACAGACAGTGAAGAGCTGTAAGCTAAGAGATTTACAGTATTGTGCTATACAACTTTATTATACCAAATGAGAATAATTCCAGAACTTTCACTCCAGATTTTTCCCAATACAATACACTGAAAAAGTTAAAAGATAAATGTAGCATGGGGACATTACAGAATAAAATGCTCCGCTGGGCGCAGATTGATACCACCGCAGAGGTCGAACCCTGAACAGTTGGGGCAAGTATGGACACAACAATCAAGCTTGATACAGCACTGAATTTGAATTGTGATTAAATATTTGACACAGCATAGGTTTCTGACACAGAATGAATGTGGTCTAAGAACTTAAAAAATTTTAATTTACCTATTCAAACCATATCATTATTATTTTCTTTTATATATAAATCAGAAATAACCAATTTAAAATGGAAAATTTTAAAGAAAAAAAAGGGGAAAAAAATCCCCCCCCCCAAATTTTTTGAACCCCCTTATGATTCATCACCCCCAAACTCAATCCCAGCCTTCCCTTTGTGGTATGGTACCTTGCAGTACAATTTCAGAGAGATCCATACACTTGAACACAAGTTATTATCTGGAAACTAGAAAAAAATGCTTGTTTTTTGGTACCTTTTTGGCTCCAAATTCCTAAATGTTTAGGGCAATTACCCCCAAACTCAAACCCAGCTTTCCCTTTGTGATATGGAACCTTGTAGTACAATTTCACAAAGATCCATACACTTACACAAAGTTATTGTCCTGAAACTAGAAAAATGCTTGTTTTTTGCCCCTTTTTGGCTCCTAATTCCTAAAATTTTGAGGCAATTACCCCCAAAATCAATCCCAGCCTTCCCTTTGTGGTATGGTAGCTTGCAGTACAATTTCAGAGAGATCCATACCCTTGAACACAAGTTATTGTCTGGAAAATTAGAAAAATGCTTGTTTGGAATCAATTTTTGCGGTCGTATAAATACCAATATACGATTGAGGTCGTATAAAAACTAGTATAACCCCACCACATTTAGTGTCTGTACAATCTGCAATGTAGCCAAAGTTTTAATAAAAGAAAAAGAGGGGTATGTGCTACTGAGAAAGCAGCTAAACAAATCAAACACCAAAAAGAGATTATTTATTTGTTCTTTTAAATTTACATTTGTCTTTGTTTTTTCATTCACCAACAAAGTGGTTGATTGATGAGATGCAGTTAACTATGGGTCCAAAATACTCCAAATACTTTCTTTTCTTTATTGTATTTAATAAGCACAAAAGCATACACGATCAGGATTCCCCTGGGCTAATTTTCATTTTCGCCACCCCTTTCGCCACTTTCATTTTTTTTCACCAACTTATTTTACTCTTTGCAAACAAGCAAAATTTCAATTTGCAGCACTGTCGTCTCATGTCCATCTGGGTGTAATAACGGTCCCAGTTTACATAAATCCCACATCTTTATTTCTTAATAAGCCTCTTTTGTAATTTAAGTGATATAGTTCCATCTTTTGATGCGACTGTCATACAAGTGAGAGGTTTAGCTAGCTTTAAAACCAGGTTCAATCCACCATTTTCTACATAAGAAAATGCCTGTACCAAGTCAGGAATATGACAGTTGTTGTCCATTCGTTTGGTGTGTTTGAGCTTTTGATTTTGCCATTTGATTGGGGACTTTGAATTTTCCTCGGAGTTCAGTATTTTTGTGATTGTACTTTTTGTTAATCTGTTTGAACAAGATAAATTTAGTTTCATTCTGAAAAGTAATGATACTGACATTTGTATTGTATGTGTAGCTGGAATAAGCGATATGTATGATACAAACATTCATTTAAAGCAAACATAATGTTGTTAAGAACTGTTGTCATTGGTTGTAGTATTAAAGCTTATTGTAATAGCTTGATAGTATAGTATGAATAACACCTCCATGCGTTAAAGATATAAAATATGTCTCTGTATATTTGTCTTTGTTTTTTGTATCTGGTATAATTCCTGTATTTGAATTTACACTAATAAAACTATTTGATTTGATTTATATCTACTATGTATAACATTATGCTTTTGTCAATTGTTGAGAAAATACCAGACAAGACAACTACAAAACAACAGGACAAAGCTTGAGTTCAAGTGCATGGTGTTTGTTATATGTACTATACATTTCTAAATAAATGAATAAAATACAAAACCCAATGCCATCTTCATTCTTTATATACATATACATAATATCAGAGAAGTTCATGTACAAGGGCCTTGTAATGGACTTTTGATAATATGATATACACGATATAAGCAATCACAAAGATACTGAAAACCTTAACACATCATTACCGATGAAACAACTATTCATAGACAAAAATAACAATAAATGAAAAATTACTAGTCACTATATCTCCTTTAACACAGAACAAAATCCAGAAATTGTTTTTTTTAATTCTCTGTTATAAAAAAATATGCTAATCAAGCACCAAAGTCAAAGCAGAAATATTATTATTGTCTTAACAAAGTGTAACATTAAAACATTATGAAATAGTGTGGTATTATCAACTATTGCAGACACTGGTACTGTGGCTGAACTGGTTGTGAGGCCGAAACGTCTCGAAACCTAGGTAATTCATGTAATTAGTGGGACTAAAATGTAGTTACATGTACTGTCCAACCTTTTTAGTTGTACATTTTTGTATTCTAAAAATTGACAAAAAATCGATTAAAATAGGTTGACTTGTGATCTTGATGTGGTACGTATTCAGTGACACATCCCACGGACACTATTACACTCTAGAAAGGCTATTTTAATTTTTTGCTATGATGCCAACATGTATGTCATGTCATAGGAAGGCTTCACAGCAAAACAATAAAACAGTCTATCAAGATGTCATAATTATTTTTACTAATTGGCGGTCTGAGGAAATGATTACATTGATATTGATCCCAAAATAAGGAGATGTGGTACGATTGCCAATGAGACAACTTTCCACAAAAGTTCAAATGAAGTGGATGTAAGCAATTATTGGCAACGGTACGGCCTTCAACAATGAGAAACACCCATACCGTATAGTCGTAAAAGGCACAGACATGAAAAATCTGAAACAATTCAATTGAGACAACTAACAGACTAACGGCCTAATTTATAACAAAACAGTTTACGAAAAACAAATATGACAGACATGAACCAACAAAAAACCACTGATTTACAAGCTCCTGATATGGGACAGGCACATCATGTTGGCTACTACAAGTCTGTAAGTATTTTCTTAGTGGTGTCAAAGTTCTTCAAGAGTTAAATATATAAACACGTTTTACCTGACCTAGGTAGATGTTTGTGCATGGAGTTGGTGATCGTTCAGTCATGCCTTCCCGTGATTTTGCTTTCTTTTATTGATTTATAATACAAATAATAATACAAACCTCTTTAAATGCAAACGGTAGTCCTAAAACACCAGCACCAATGAATGAAATAAAAATGTTTGCAAAGATTTTGACAGGGTGTTTGGATCCCGTTCTTCCGACTGCCATTTTATATTCTTATTGAGGTCGTCAGCTCATTACTCTCTGGAGCTTTTCAGTTTATTTAAACTTCTCATGCAGGATCTTGTTTTGACATTAACGACACCAGGATAACTGTCACTTTACAACGTGGACCTTGTAAACTAATCGCAATGCCACCTGTGACAAGTGCCCTAAGGGAGGTAATTCTGAATATAAAATTTAAGAAGAGGTCTACCTGGGTCAGATAAAACGTGTTTAGATGTTAAACTCTTGAAGAACTTTGGTACCACTAAGAAAATACAACAGACGTATAGAAGCCAACATTCAACTGACGTTTTATTCTTGTAAAAGGGTACAACTTGCGCCTGTTTCAGTTTATTTGATAATCAGGCTTGTTTTATTGCTTTATTATCTGAGTGACATTTTTGGTACAGTTGTTTTTGGCAAGGTAAGAATTTACAGAGATACAATCTGAATCATAATAAGTAGCCTTAAGCTTTTTATTCTAAATTTGATCAACTTCTTTTTCTACAAATTCTGTACGAACTGAATTGCAATTTAAAAATATTGATAAAATTAACAGTACCAATGCGTATTTCCACATTAATCATCTCATAGATATAATGGCTATTATATCTATGATCATCTCTTCAGTGATGTTCACGGCCAAACTATTTAAAAGTCCAAAACCTATTACAAGGACGAAGAGCTGATAAAATCTACAAGGACAAAAGTAAAGCCAAACAAGAAAAAAAAATTCTTGATCAATATTGCCAAATCATTTTATTATCAGTGTTGGGGATAGCCATATGTGTAGGGGTTTGTAATTATCAATCATAATTCTGATTATTATTGGATTATTATTTCTCTCAAGTCTGATATATTATTACAAATTTTTAAATTTATTGATATTGATATAATTTCGATGAGTAGAGGTGACATTTATAGCAGGTTAGATTGCAAATTGTCTTAGGGATCCTGGTTGCTAGCAAGATATTTAAAACACGTTTACAAGTCAAATTTAACTAGTACGATGAAACTTCAGTAACACACTGATATTGAGGAAGGACATATGTATTGCAGGGTGTCATCCTGGTTTGCCCACATTTAATTGCAGGTTTATAAAAACATAGGGTGTTTTGTTGTTTTAACAATTATAGTTTATTTCTGAATTATAGTCATATTTTGTACCTTCATTTTACCTGTAAATTTTACAAAAAAAACTTAATTCTACTATTAATACAAAGAAAATGTGCAAAAATATGTTTAAAATTTACCAGGAAAATGTATTGAATTTTAAAAATATTCAAAAAAATATTCAAAAATGTTTATTATTTTGAAAAAATTATTGACAAACTTTTTAAATTGTTGGTACATTCTAAGAAAAAAAAATGTAAAAAGTAAAATAATCAATCATTTCAATTTTTTTTCTCACTTATTTTTAATTTTTAATTTTAATAAATACTTTGTTCTGAAATAAAATTAATATAAAAAATCACAATTAATTCTATAAAATAAAATATAAATGCAACTGTTCAATATAGCCAAGCTTTACAAATGACATAATTTGAACAGCAAGCTAGCACCTTCTTTTCAATTTATAATAAGTTCTATATTCCCACTAGTGTATGTTCTACTGCCAAGAATAGACGAGATCATCCACTCACGCTTCTTCAGCCACATACGTTACATCGTTCAATTTCATAAGTTACAACTTCAACCAGAAACAGTATTTATCGATTTCGAGACAGAAACCAACAACGCAACAGGAACAGTGTTCCCAGGGATAACCTCAAATGCTGCTTCTTCACCTTTACCCAGTGTATTTGGCGAAAGGCACAGAAATGTGGACTACAGTCATACTATAAAGTAAATGAAGAGTCTTGGGTTGAAGGATACTGGATTTTTTTTTATGGAATCACTACTTAACCGAAGGCCCCGCATCACCATCCCCCTTGAAGGTTAGCACAACAAAATTAAGAAGAGACTCCACCATGCCCACCCCAACATCTAGGAGATCATCGAGTTACTCAAGAAGAATCTGGCACTAACAGAATGTACAATTATCCAGTATGCAGCAGGCTCCTTGCAGTGGGTCTCATTGGGGTCTAAGCGTGACCCGGGATTGCCAATTTTTTGTAAGCGTGACACGTGAAAGTCAAATTATTGTGCCGTGAAAACGGGAAATGAAGTCTAGCGGGACACGGGAAATTACAAAATAATGAGAATTGCTTACGTACATAGTGTAAGCGGGATACGGGAATCTGACAAAACAGTAAGCGGGATCTGGGATCAGAACCCCCCAATGAGACCCCCCTTGCAGCAGGAGGAGCTTGCCCACCAAAAAGACGATGATACAAAGTTATAGACACCAGCCTCCGACTACTGAAAGACACAGACTCATCAACGTGATAAACTACTCTAACGCAGAATGGTTTTGTGAAATATTGTAACTTGTGATTTAGTGACTTTGTAAATAAAATGTGTTGTGACTTTGTTGATATATAAATGTTTTGCTACTTTTGAAATATATATAAAATGTTGTATTTTTCATCATTTTACATATAGTGACCAATATTAATTATTTTTACCATACTGCTTTTATTTTATTTTCTTATGCAATGCATGTATGAATTTAATTCATAAGTTAAAAAATCATGTTTGCAATTAAAGAAAACTTTATCATACATGTATATTGGTGTATTCATTTCATAATCATTTAGAAACTAACGAATTGTTAAGACACTTTTATAAATGAATAAAGCAGTTGTTTTATCATTAGTCATGTTAGTTGTCTGCTAAATGAATAGATTGAATTGATATTAAATTATTGTGAACAAAATAATATAAATAAAAGTGGAACTACAAAATGAAAAATACCTGAATATATAGAAAACACAGATAAACTATATACCTATAAAGTTAGAACAGACTATACAATTGTATGCTCATTAAACCTTTTGTGTTTTTTGTTTTCTTTACTAATAGATAATTGGTATAATTAAATGTGGGCAAACCAGGAGTAAACCGTATTGCAGGATATTTCAAAATATCAGTTTTATTACCGGATTGGTATTCAAAGGTAACTAGTTTAATACATTCATGACAAGCTGGTGACTAAACAACCAAATACCGCACTGATCATTATATTTCTGAAAGTCTGTGTTCTGAACATGTATCATTTTAGTTATTCGTATTTAAATAAAATAAGGATATGACCATATACACCCCGGGCGCGGGACGTTTGCGCTTTTTCATAAAACGTTTGCGCAATCTAATCAAAATTCATATCTATATTTACTCGCGTACTCGTACATATAAGCTCTTATGAGTATAACGAAATCAGAGATATATATTTTAATTAGATTGTACGTTTGCGCTTTATTTTAAGGACATTTGCGCTTTTTATATAGGACATTTGCGCTTTTGCAATATTGGTTTTTTATGACTTCCCTCCTCTTTTATCTAGGCTTGGGACCGACAGCATTTCATAGCACATTGATATAGTTATATAAAAGTAAACATTCTTAAGACATAAAATACACGTTTAGTCATCGCAGGTCAGTTTTAGCTTGATATCTGAAGCCCAAAGAATGAACAAATTTAGCTCTTGTAATCTGTCCTGACTGGTATTTCGCCCACATTTCAAATAAATATTCTAGTTTCTCTTTCTCAGTTCTTGGCTGAGGTGCCTGTTCATCAATATAACGAATTATAATGTCTTTAACCGACTGTTGTTCAAAGATACTCTTCAAAAAGACAAAAATAGCAGGATGAGTCGAGTAGAACTGATCATTGTACTGGGCATGGAAGGATTCTGCACCATTTGTCGTACGCTTACTGTGTGATGGCTTCCCAGCCCATAATATTGGTGGAAATCGTGAGTCAACTGTCACATAATTTTCTGTCACGTAGTCTGCAAATTTGGGACATATAAGTTCTTGTCATATCGTCAACAAATGAATCTTCAACATCTGAATCCGGAAGGAATGAAAGCCCGAAAAATTTGTGTAACCATTTGTCCACTTCACCTGTATATTCCTTGTATTCTTTAGATAGTCCCAATGATTAAATCTTTTGCCCCTATGCTTGGGACAGATGAAAACGACAGCACTTCAAGAAGGCGGATTTGAATAAATTCCTAATAACAACCATGACCCTTTCTTCAAAGTCAACATGAACAGTGATGCGCTAAGCCATTTTAAACTGATTTTTTTATAGTTTTTTCTTATGTTGTGCTGTAACACCACTGTCCCAGGTTAGGGGGAGGGCTGAGCGCTCACAATCATGTTTAGCCCCGTCACATTTTTTATGTGCCTGTCCCATGTCGGGAGCCTGTAGTTTAGTGGTTGTCGTTAATTCATGTCTGTCATATTTGTTTTTCGTAAATTGTTTTGTTATAAATTAGGCCGTTAGTTTTCTCAATTGAATTGTTTCAGATTTTTCATGTCGGGGCCTTTTATAGCCGACTATACGGTATGGGGTTTTCTCATTGTTGAAGGCCGTACGGTTGCCCATAGTTGCTTACTTCCACATCATTTGAACTTTGGTTGATAGTTGTCTCTGTGGGCGATCATACCACATCTCCTTATTTTTTTATTGCCAATGGGTTTAAAAGTCAAATTTCGATCAGCACAAACTTCAACTAGCTTATAGTATAATTATAATTAGCTATTCAATGATGGTATATTTACTCGGACTTTCCAGTCAACAGAATAAATGCAAGAGGAATATCATTCCCATTTTTAAATCCATGAATGGTATAAAGGTGCTTCTTTGAAGCTTTGCTAGAAGAAAAATATCCGATCATTTATTTACGTAATGATAACAACGCATTGAAATTACAAGTAGACAACTTTATGTAATAATCACAAATGACCGGTCAATTTAATGCAGGTGTATCAAAATTTAAAGCGAAAATGTCCATAGTGTTTGGAGCGCAAATGTCCTATCGGGTTACAAGTAAAAAAAAAAGCGCAAACGTCCTAGCTGTGCCCATACACCCATATATATCTTTGCAAACTACATCTTCCAAATCATATTAAACAGGCAAATTATCTTTAATATTGGTTTAAAATTTCAATTGATTCAATACATCTTTCATAAACACAAAATACAGCCTTTCTACAACTAGTCTTGAACACATACAGACAATGTCAACACTTA